AGTCAGTATAAAGAGGGATGGGGAGAAAATGGTTTCCGCCCACACAGTCTTGTTTTAGTTATGTAGGAGGTAAAAGTTGTACTTTATCAACAGTTGCTTGACCCAGGATAGTCCATGTACCTGCTTGTTTCCTTGTGAATAAGGTAACTGCTACAAAAGTTTTAAATGTTCCTTGGGTAACAATAACAAGGAAACAAAATAATATAACCCTGTGCAGAGAAGAGAGGAAATTTGCAGATTCTGTAGCAAAGGAAACGCTAGGTGTGTCATTTGCAACCACTTCATTGTCAATTATCACATTTTCTGACTGCTTTTTATTTAAAAACAGTGAATTATTTTGATTGATATATTTGAAATGTCTACATAATCTCAAGAGACAAAAGGGTTTAAAAATACATTTTAATATAAAAATGCCAGCAATCCAGTATGCGTGACAGTCAATGCCATCACCCTCAATCACAGTTATTCAACCACTGTGTGTAACCCTACAACAGATAACCAATGAATATTTGCAGGAGAAAAAATAGTTCAAGGGAACCAACTTCAGTTTCAACTTGTTTAACTGCTACTCTGATGGTGTGTGATGTCTTCATATGCAAAACTTTAAAGCCATTAAAGAACAGCTCTTCTTAGATGATCTACCCCAGTTTGTACAAGATAACGTCATGCTGGAACTAGGTTTATGGGAACCAGATCCAGTTGACAAATTTCTTTAGCTCCAATGTTGACATTTGTGATACAACACCTGACGGTGTGACCTGGTTGTTTAGTCAGTATTATTTGACTATTTATCCTGCCCAGACATGCCAATACACTTCACATTTTATATAATTCACTGTCAAGTCTTGGTGCCTAGATTTAAGGAGCTCCTTTATCCTGGGAGTTAGCAGTTTGCTTTTAAATATGCTTTTTTTAAAAATAATGTTTTCCTTTATACATCCTATAATCTTGTTGTCTGACTTCCCTTCTTTCTAAGTTATACAAATGAGGAAGGCCGATTTCTTCAAGAAGCCAAAACAAATGATATTATCCTTCAATAGAGTCAGGAAACCAAAAATACTGTGATATTATCTTTTAATGGACTCAACTGTTTCTAATTCACTACAAAAGGGAGGATAGAGCAAAATTATAGAGGAGAGGAAGGAAAACTGGAGTGAAAACACATTACTGTTTATGCTTAACATTAAGAAAGCTGTACAACTGTGTAACAAAAGCAGCAAACATGTCAGGATCTGTTAATTTAACAAGACATCTATGCTTCTTCAATGTTGGAGGCACTCCATCTTCAAATTTGTGCTTTATAATGCAGTAAAGACATACTGTACATATGTTCACAGCAACTCCATATTTACATACTTATTTTGCTTGATTATTCTACATCCCACATGTGATGTGTTAAGTATTCTATTTCCAGGTTATTATTCATTAAGAAAACATATTAAAACATAGCCCTAAAGAGAGATAAATCTGTAATAGAGCTCTTCTTCACAAAAACACAACTTAAAATCATCCTTCCATGTACAGAAGAAGTCTCATTATACAATTTATGTGTGTGTCTGAAGGATATAGTCCTCAATCCTGCATATTTTAAGATCATGTTTAGCCTCATTACTGTGAACATGGCCGTATAATGCAAAGATTATGTCATGATCAATCATGACCTTGGATGTTTCTGATCATATCTTCCTCCGTATCATATGGTTTACATCTTCCCATATAGGGTTAAAATGTCAAATTTCATTGTGTTGGAAAACTTACTGTGATGATTTTCTAACAAAACTGAAAATGTTTGAAGTGAGAGCATTTTGGAAATCCAAGACAAGAAAGTTGCTCAATATTTACAAAATGTAATTCTTCTGATTCATTATTCAAATGTATTGTAAAAATTTATCCTTGCTCAAGCAAAAGATCACATGATCATGCAAAATTCACAGCTGCGTGATTTTAATGACAAACTCTACACAATGATATCCCCCATACACAAAAAATTACTGAAAACAAAAAAGTGAATATTTCCATTAAAAAATTATCATGAAAAAACTCAATTTTTCACATCTTCACAATTATTTCAAATCCACAAGATTCAAATGATTTAATCACATTCTCTTCATTTCTATTAATGTTAACAGTCACCAAATGATCAGATAAAAACAAAAGGTATCCCTCATTACCCAATAATAAGGAACCAATTTCACACAATTGAACTCCATAGCCAAACATCCATTGAGTTTAACAGGAGAAGGGTCTAAAGGCTTCAATTCTACAGTAGATCCACTAAGGGCAAAGAGAACATCCACATAGATTTTTTGTACAAGATTGATACCCTACCTATAGAAAAGAGGGGGGAAACTTTAAGGGAGGAAAACAAGGAAGAAGTATATCAACTAAGTTACCCAGAAACATACTCAAAACTATAGACTGACCATAAGTAACATGAAAGGAAAATTAGTGGCCAAATAGACCTGTACAAGACACTTTGCAATAATGATATGCCTGCTAATTGTTTCACTATCAGCAAAGCTAGGAGGAACAATTTCTTCATTATGTTTATAAAATTAATTTATAATGTATTTCCAAATCGCAAAGGAAATGTTTTTACTTAAAAGGAAGATACAAACAGAAATGCACACACCATGAGTACTTGCACATAAAGCCTCTCTGACATAAGTATGCTTTCAGAATAGCAATTGCTTTAATAATCTAGAGCTCCAGGTTAGCCATTCTGAACAAACAAGCTATGAAATTTGGGAAAAAATAGTGTTTTCCACAAAATCTTCCAAAAATTCAATCTTTTAAAAAGCGTTTTTTTAAAATTCACCTCAAAAGTAGGTCTTACCATAATGCTTTAAGTTAAAAAATAGCAGCAATAAAGTTTTTCTGTTGTGATACATCACAGTGAAAATGTCCTTAACTTTATACCTGAGAATATTCCTACAGAAGTTATTGAGTGTACTCACAGGGCATACAATTAGTTATGTATAAATCTTTACACAATTGACATTAAATGTATTGCTAGTTGTTTCAAGGGTCTTTCTTTTGCCTGTATATTTATTTCTGAGGTTCTCTCTATGTGGCAGAAGATTATTTACGAAGAGAATACTGGAAGGTTCAGTGAAATAAGGTTTAAAACTAATACTTTGCCTTCACTTGCTTTGGAGAAATCTGCTATTAGCTAAATTTTTAGTCCATAAATTGAATGAGAAGTCTAATGTGAGGTTTCAAATTGCTAGTTTAATTTCAATAGCACCCATGTCCCTAATTAGCAAGGGCAGGTGGCAGTGAACAACTGGGATTGAGGTATGATAGGGATATCTTCCCATAGGCAGTAGAATTAATCACACTGAATAATTCACAATAGGATTTCTCATATAAAGGTAATCAGACCATTATATGCTGTATACACAATGTGCTGCATAGATGGTTTTGGAATCTACCTCAAGGTACCTTGAAAACAGTACATGAATGTGAATCACATAATGCAGTAATGACCCCTGGGGAGGTGAGACAGAGCTCAAAGGAGTGATACCAGACTTTCCATTCATTAGGTGCAAATGGGCAGTGTGACCACATGGCACCCCTTTCTGTCAGGTCTGTCTGAAGTTCTGGCCCTACTATGTGGTCGTATTCCTAAATCTTCCTCCCTGGAAGCAGTAGTCTCTCCCTCTTGCTCTACTCTACTTAGGGTCACTAAGTAGCTCAATTCCCCTTCCTGGGGTTTCTCACTGTCCATTGAAGACCAGTTCCCCTGTGGCCTATGGGGGTGAAACCAGGCCATCAACTACTTCAGGTCCCAGCCCAGCAACCCTAAAAAGAGCAGCCATGTCACTTTAAGTACACTGCTTTCAGTTCCCTGGGCCACTTCCCTGCATCCCTAGCTCTTGCCCACGCTTCACCCTTAACTCAGAGCTCAACTAAGTTCAGGCCCATCAGCAAGCCAGCAGCTCTTCCTCACTTCCCCAGTCCTGCCAGCACTGTGCTTTCCATGGTGCTGCAGTTCCAGCACCAGCAAGGAGCTGACTGTCTCTGTAGCACCTTTTATATGGCCCTTGTGGGCCCTGATAAGTTGCTTTCCCTGCAGCCTCTCTGACTGGAAGTTTGGAGGACTTCTCTATTGCTCCTTGTCTGGGATGGGTATGGCAAGATACTGGGCCTGTGCACATAATCCACCCCATCAGAGGCAGGATTCTGGAAACCAGTTTATCCAAAAAGTCCTTATCTTAAAAAATACAGTTGTACTAAATAAAATAGGCTTTTGATGTCTAAAATGTATACGTAGTTACCTTATTTTGTAACACACACACACACAAATATTTCCTGATAAAAACTATTATATTCACAGTCTATTTGGGTATCTACCTGATTGCTCTGATTTTACAGGTTAAGTAAGGATATATGTTTTGATACTAGAAGGCATGACTCCCGCATATCCCTCATTTAGTGTCACATTTAGGCAAATTACTTGTTTAACACGGGAAAACCTGAACCAGTGGGAGAGTGCAACCTATTGGCTAGAGCACTAAATTGGGCCTCAGGTGCCCTGGGTTTAATTTGCAGCTCAGCTTCTGGCCTGTAGGATGGTCTTGAGTAAGTTACTTCTCCATCTGTAAAATGGAGATAATGATACGGACTTTCTTTGTAAAATTGTTTCATCATCTACGGATTAAAATAATGTGACTTCATGCTTTAACATTTGTTTGTAAAATGTATTTTAGGACTTCTTAAATTAATTTTGCTGCTACACGCATGATCTCCCCTCTCCTCTTTTTCAGCAAACACATTGAATAGGGCTATCTAGGTATCATTATCATCGGTGCTTTTTATAATTCATATTTCTTTTCTCACCAATGCCAATAGTTTGTTTCCTGCTTTCAGCTACCAAACTCAGCTCTATCAAATATTCTGTAATAATTTGTTGGGTACTTTTTCTTTTAATCTTGTGTTACTTATAAATTAGGGGGGAAAAGCAATCATAGCATTTTATATAAAATTAAGTTACTTACCAACTACTGCCAGATTATGCTCTGAGCCACATGCAATCTGCAAAAGAAATGTGACTGATTGATTGAATGAATGAAAGAGAATCATTGGAGAAGTGTAATTGGTACAGTCCTACTAAATTCACGGCCATTAAAATACATCAGAGCCCATAAAATCTTGTCTTTTGAGTGCTTTTACCCTATACAGGAGGGGTGGGAACCTAAGGCCCGGAGGACTGGATGCAACCCCCAACCTGCCTGGATCTGACCCCTGAGGCTCAGGGCTCCCCCAACTGATTTTTCTGTGGGTTAGCAGCCCTGACCCTAAAAAGGTTCCCCACTCCTGGTACACAGATTTCACAGAGGATACCAGCATTTCTCAAATTGGAAGACCTGACCCAAAAGAAAGTTGCAGGTGCATTGCAAAGTTATTTTAGTGGTGTCCCAGTATTGCCACACTTACTTCTGCACTGCTGCCTTTAGCTCTGGCAGCCAGAGAATAATAGCTGCTCACTGAGGTCCCAGTTCTGCAAGAAGCAGCGCAAAAGTAAGGGTGGCAACACCATGCTACGCCATCCTTACTGGTAGCAGCTCTATCTCCAGACCTGGGCTCCTCGCCAGCAGCTACTGCTCTCCAGGCAGAGGTACTGCCAGAAGCAACACAGAAGTAAGTGTAGCAGTATTACAACCCCCTACAACGCTGAAATCCCTCCACAACTCCTTTTTGGGGCAGAACACCTATAATTACAACGCTGTGAAATTTCAGATTTAAATAGCTAAAATAATGAAATTTATAATTTTAAAATTCCTATGACCGTGAAATTGACCAAAATGGACTGTGAATGTGGTAGGTCACTAGTAAGTAGACACAGTACTAGGACAGAGACAATCACAATCATACCAGGAAATTAAAAATTAGGCTGAAACAAACAACTGTGGTTTGTACAATGTAGAATTAAGTTTGAAGTACACTATAGTACATTTCTGATAAAATGTCATCAGTGGGCTCACTTCATTTGTTAATAAACAGCTTTTTACATTAAAAAAGCAACCAACACCACAACTGGTACTTCTAGCTTTCTTTGTAAGGTAGACCACAGACCTGCAAAGATCTTAACTTTATGCCAGTGTTTCTCAAACCGGGCCACAGGCCAGCTCCGTAGCCACTGAGCCTCACAGCTCCTACTGGCTGCAGTTCTCCGTTTGCAGCTAAGGGGAGCAGAGGGAGGCAGCGTAGCCCGGGCTGCTGCTTCCGGCACTCCCATGGCTCACTTTGAGAAACACTGCTTTATGCACTTATATCAATAGGACAGTGTGTACACATAAACTAAACACGAGTGTAAGTCTTTTGGGGATCAAGGTCAATGGGAGAAAGATAAAGAATCAAATGGACAATGAAGATCTAATTTCCTTCCCACCCATTCACACCTACCGATATTTCCTGAACAGCATGAGGCATTTTGGCATGGAAGTGTGAGGAAGCTTCCAATTATTCTTTCCCCCCTGCCCTTGTCTGGAAGGGAGGACTTGTACTGCAAAGGATTTCATAATGCAGAGGCTGCTTCTACACTGAATATTTTTGTATCTGCATATCTTAAAAGAGGGAGATTATGAAATTCTATTTTTAATTTACTTGTTAAAAGCAGCACCACAAACTCACCAGAACCCTCTAATTTGGCTGAAATTTCTCCCTATGTTAATTTAAAATGAATCCTGTTCTGATGACCTGTCATAAAACTGTGATCTGTATTTTAAAAGATTCCCCTCCACCATACACACACATGCTGTCTCTTTCTCTGTCCCTCCCACCTCTCTTCCCAGGATTTTAAAGTCAGCAAAGACATGTGCCTCCAAGGTTTTTTTTTTTACTCTTTTGCTGCTGCTATGAAAGTGGAAAAAATGCATGAGCTCCTATCACGTCAGTGACTCTCAGTGACCCAAGTTCCCTATCCTAATTTACTCTGTAATAATTTAATACTTGTTCCTTCAGTGGCCCATATTCACTGTAGGCAGGCAGTACTATCTCTGCATAAAATATTGACTGATGGCAGCAACCAGCTATCAGACACCATGTGGACTTCACTATATAAAAAGCTCTTTTAATTATTTCCTTCTAGTTTTAATCTTTTGAATAAGTAAATCACCGGGAAAGGAAACCAAACACCCAGTTCATAAGTAATCTGGAAATTTATTACCAATCTCTGAGCTAACAAGAATAAACTGCAATCAAACTTTACTCTTCTACTATTAAATATATAATATTTAAATAAGCATACTATACTTATAGATTCTTAAGACAAGAAGAAAACATGGTGGTCATGTAGTCTAAGGCTTTGCATGTCAATGGCCGTAAGATTTTTCCAACTATTTCTTTCGTGAAATCCATAATTTCTAGAGAAGCTAGCATATGCCTATGATACCCAGTCTTGAGTCATTGTGCTAAAAGTAAATGTTATGATCAAGGGTACGTAAAACAGCATAACTGTGACATGAAAACACCTTATTATTAGCTAACGTGTACCTGAAAGCCCATGTTGTGGCAGGTGGTCCAAGTAATCCACTATATATGGACTCTCCTTCATTCAATCAAAGGAATGGTTGCATGAAAATTAGCAGTAGAGTAATGGTGGTGGTTTGGTTGAATTACTTCTCATGTCAAAGGGGCAGCCATATTAGTCTGTAACTGAAAAAACTTCAAAAACAACAAATGGTCCTGCAGCACCTTAGAGACCAACAAAAAGTGTAGCTGGTATCATGAGCTTTTGTGGGCACAACCCACTTGCTAAACCCACAATACCATCTACATTTTTTGCTAGCCTCTATGGTGCTACAGGACCATTCATTGTTTCTTAAGTTTTACCTCTACTATAACACTGGTTTTGGACCCTTGACATGACATAGCTATTACCTTTCACACAGGTGTAATTCACCAAGTCAAAATAACTGAACTTAAAAACGGGATAAGACCACAAATCCCAGTGGTGACTGAGCCAGGTGATATTCTAACCAATAAGCAGTCTCAGCCATACTTGTAGCTATTCCCATTACTTCACACTGACTCAGACATTCTAGGCTTCTGAGTGACAAGAAAAGACACAATCTTGGAATCATATTTTATAGATGCTGTACTAATAAAGTTCACAGATGAGATTTAAGAAATCTCCTCTGGTTTGAATGTACTAAGCCAAGAAATGCAATCCTCTAGGTTGGGAAAACTGTGTAAGAAAAACAATTGTTTTAAAAGCCATCATTCATTCTGTGATTAATCTCATTTTTTGGAACAACTCAAATATAGGGACCAAGAGAAAACAATGGCCTTGGAAGGGTACCAGTGAAGTAGCTGTTAAATCCTCTATCTTGCAATATTACAACTATGCACTGGCATATTAAAATACATAACATTGCTGTATTATTATGCTCTTCATGCAACAGGGCCATATATTATAGCAGTACTAATTTTTAATATATTTTCATTGGCTAATACAGCCCACCAATGATGTTGGGTTTGAAGGTTGTTGCCATGGAAACAAGATATGCACATGGAAATGCATGTGAAGACTTGATAGGGGAAAAAAATCAAATCAACAAATTCTCTCTTCAACTGCATGATGAAAAATGGGATACTACACTGGCAGCTAATGAAATCTATACAAAACATGAACTATCTAGTCTCATATTTCTATACAAATATCCTGAACACAAACACTATTTAAGATGATTCTGTGAAACTGGCTGTTCACCCTGCTTCTGTAGGTCTCGTAAATTTAGAGCTAATGGCCCCACTGGAAATGCCGTGTGTTCAAACAGAGCATGCTGTTTAGAATGTGTGACATCTTCAATAAAGAGCCATTTTGTTGCAATACCTAATAACAACAATTATGCATTCTGCATCTCTGACAGATACAAGCAGGTGATCACTAACTGTTTTGTAATCCACCTGCAGGACTGTCACCCACAGCAGAACTCTGAGAAACTCTGTTTGCATTACAGAAGCATCCACCGCCTAGTACACCAGGTTGTACGGGAGGGAATCTGTCACATGGAAGGCCCTAGCAGAAACAGAGTTCACTGCATTATAGGCCTTGTCTGCCCTAACAACGTGCCTCCATTATAGCCCTTGGTGACCAGCCACATGAGTATTGCATCAGTGCAATTTCCTGATGCATGAGGTAATCCACTAAAAGCCATAATTTACACTAGTGCAGCTTTTTTTAAGTAGGAGGAAACTGCAGTGGTGGAAATATCTGCTGTGCCACCAATTGCTGTAATCAAGGAAAGTCCCATGCACAGACAGGGCTACTGGCTGTCACTTTGATTTTCCATCACTGGCATGAGGCAGGGACACAACAACACTGTCAATCAGCCCCAGCAACCTCTGTGCTCTAGTAGGGAGTTCACCCAGCAGAAGAGCAAACAATGTTTGCACTGCTACCCTACCCCAGGGTTACATCACTTTAAAATGTAGCCTGGCCTGCATTAGGAGCCCCACAGTAAAAATCTTTCTAAAGGATTCACTGACTCAGAGCATCCCTCAGGCCCTGTGGCCATACCCTGTCTCTCACTGAAGACTGTGCCAGCCCTCCCATCCTAAATTAGACAATCATCCAAACTAAAAAAGCATTAATAGGATCCAGAATGTATGGTTCGTTGATAGGGTGAGGTGGCAGCAAGGGGGAAACAGAACCACCAGAGATGATGAACACTTACATAAGGTGTAACTAATTCAACAATGGCTATAGTTTTGTAATGCCATGCTTGTATTTACCCCAACAGACACTGTTTTCTAGCTATTTTTTTCTGTACTACAGAAGGAATTAAACTCTAGCAGACATCTGTATATCCCTAGAGGATAGATAAATATGTTGAAATCAAGAATATTTGGAGCTTCTTTTCTCAATATTATTTTCCAGTTGTGCAATGATGTTACATTGTATAGTTAAATTGACAAAGAACCACAAATATTAAGAGTAAGAATAAATCTCTAGAAGTTATTGAAGCCTTTTTGGAATATTAGACAATACAAGCCTATTTTCCACTTCCAATTAAAATTTCCCTTATACT